CTTTGGAATACTCTGTAATGATTGTTGTCAAGTCTTTCTGACTTTGTGCATAATCATTACAAGAGGATCAATGCATATAAGTTTAGAATCTAACAGATTTCAGTAAATGGCATGAATTTGGAATTCTTGCATTTGCAGTAAGGATTTGGGAGTGTGAAAAGAGAATCATTGAAGTTATGTTCAATTGATCTAGTTCACAAAGTAAAGATCATAGACAAACATAGTATGCATACTTGGTGTATGGCATGACTAGTGTTTAGAAAACATAGTGTACATGCTTGGAGCATGGGACAACTATTGTTTTAAATTCAAGAATAAAGTTGATAGCTGAAACAGTATACAATGAATAATGTGTAATCATATGGTGATAAATAAAAGGTGTTTTATTTATGTTCATAGGTTTTGATACCATATTGGATTCAATTATTATTGTGTTTCACTTTGCATGTTTTGACTTCCCGAATAAACTAGGTTATTACTAAGTTATTCAAACCATCCACAGTCGGTCATATGTTGGAAGTAGATATGAATTAAGACTGTCATGGGTTGGCTTGTAGAGGTCTAAGGTGTTGGACAAAGGGCTACAACACTCATGAGTGCTCATAAGTTCTGAGTATTGGATTCAACCCGCGCTCATTGGAATCACTTCATGGATTTTATCACGAGTGATCATGAGACGATAATATCTTATATTCTTCAAACCTAGAGATATGAGTTGTTACTATGAGTTGGTTGTACATTGATTGCACGAAAACGCATTTGGTAACTCGGTGCTATAAAACGTGCCTTTGTGTATGATTCAACAAGTAGTAGAACAAGCCATATGAGTCGAAGTTTATCCATTCCTTTTACCTTCGGGATAAAAGCGATATCTGTGGGCCCCTCGATGATTTGATGATGACAAATGGAAGTGCTCGGCCGGGCCAGGACTGATTTGATTTGTTCAATTAGTCAGTCGTCATAAATCGGAAATCGGGAAACAACAAATGGACAGAGAGAATGATTATAATCCATGTCTCAGTCCATATGATATCTAGAATGGAGGAATATATGATCCCTTATCTAATGGACAAGTTCGTTGACAAGATCAGAGTTCGACAGCGGCTTTAAGAGCTACGATTGCCAGTTAGGTTTGAAGTCATACGCAATAATAGTTTTAGACTTATCCAAGTGGGAGACTGTTGGATTAATGTCTAAGTCCATAACTATATTTGGTATGTACTTGACCCGACCCGGCATGGTCCATTTGGGTTGCACTTCACCGACACAATTTATATGGATAATCTTTTGAGAATAGTATGTTTATGATTAATATTAATATATTATAAGTTCTAATATATTATTATGGAATCATATTATTTAATTAGTATTGATCAAGAATTAATTTATAATTAATTAAGTGATCAAAAGGAACTAATTAAATATGGACTCTTATATATATGGAATGGGCCAAGTTCATTTAGGTTGGGCTAAGCTTTCATGGATAGTCCATGGAGTGTTTAACCCATGGATCCTAGGAAATGAAAGGTCATGGGTATTAGGGTTTAACCCTAATCCTCCACACTATATAAAGATGTCCTTGGTTGGTGAAATTGGCACTAGTGTGGTACACTAAGAAGGGCTAGCCGATTTCACAAGAGAGAACCAAGTATCCATATTCTCTAAAGTCTTCCAAGGTGTTTTTGGTGATTTGTGATTCCATTTGAGGCTACCACACTATTGGGGCTAAGCTCTTAAAGCTTGAAGACATCAAGCTACATCAAAAGTGTATGTCATCTAACTAGTACTTTGTAGTATAAGTGCTTCATAATATGCTAGTTAGGATTAAAGCCTTGGAAAGTTCTTATTTGCATGTATAATAGAGAAAACATAGATCCAAGGTTTATAGGGTTGCATGTACACCATAGGAGTGTTAGAATGCTCATAACCCAACAATACACACTTGCAACAGGCACTCTGTTTAGCTTGAATTGGTGGCCTGTATTTACCAACAGTAGGTTGATTAGTAGCAAATGAGTTCGAAGCAATAGATTCAGAGTTTAAGGAGACATTGGTTTGTTCAATAGTGTTCTCCTTGTTCTCTTCTTCCATTACTTTACCTGCACAAGAAGTAGAAACATTACAATTCTTCACCTCAACACCCTTAGTTAGCCCTGATTGGTTAGTCTTAACTAAAACTGGAACAAGGGGTTGGCCATACATAAGGTGTGCCTCATTTTCACTTTCTTCCTTAGTCAGAGGAGTGAAAGTGTAGTGATCATTGAAAGGAGGTGGAACATCATGATACCCTAGACCATTATTTTGATTATCTTTAAATGTTAAACTATGTTCTATCATGGACGCAACTACTTCACTTGAAACATCAAATTTTCTAAAATTAAAATGGGAAAAGTGAATATGTGGCTATCATGTATGTAATATTAGGTATAGAACCATTAAAATTGTCTTCATTTTGATTAAAAAACAAAATTTTTTTCTTTGTTAACTTCTTCATATTGCTTTCATAATTTTTTTTTCAACATCTATGTATTTCGAATGTGTTGTTTTTACTAGACTTCTAGTAGGCTTTATAACTTTCTTTGACACCTACCATATATATACTTGCATGGTTCTTTTTAATGTGTTATGGGAAGAAGTTTATTGGTTTTTAATGAACAATTTTAATCTTTCACTAGAACTCCCTATATTAAATTTGAATATGAAGATTTATAGGTAGTTGATAATGTATTTTTATACATGGTTTGTGGTGCAAAATAAAATATTTAAAACTCCATAAAAATATATACAAAGCCTATCATCTACTCCAATAGTAAATATAAGAAAAATGGTAGAGAGATTTGATTACATTTTGTTAAAACTATGTAGTTTTTGATTGTTCTATACCTAATGTTAGGTACATAACAACCACATATTCTCTAAGCCCAATTAAAATATGCATTTTCAAATTTGTTTTTCAATGTGTCAAGCTCAGCAGTTAACTCAGCAAGTTGTTGATTCACAAATCTATAATTGGCACACTTATTGCTATACTCTTCCTGAAGTTTTCTAAAATCTTTTGTTTTGGCTTCTAGTTGTGCTTTTAAAGGTTTATGTCCTTTCCTGAGTTGATATCCTTCGTATTTTAGGTCATTAACTTCTCGTTTTAGCAAATCATTATGTTCACGAAGAAATTTAATCCTAGCTTCACAAGATGGAATACATGAAACTTCATTGACAGGGAGGGATGAAGAACTCATTTGTATAAAAAAAACTCAAAAGTCAACCTTAAAAGTTAAATTTAAAAAGTCAAACTGAAAAGCTAAATTTGAAAATTTGAAAGCTAAACGAGAAAGTCAAAGTTCAAAGTCAAAGGTCAAACTTGAAAAGTCAAAGTCAAAATTTTAAGTAAAAAATCAATTTAGAAATTTAAAAATTAAAGGTTAAAATTTTGGAGGAAAATAGAATTTAAAATTAAAAGGAATTTGAATTTTGGGATAAAACTGTCAATTTTGCGAAATTAGTCGAACTGGAGAAGCCTTTTGAATTAAAACGCAAATGTTTAAATCAACAAGCAGTCTAGCCCAACTGTTAAGATGCCTTTGTTGTGGATGCGGGTGATCAAGGTTCGAAACTTGCACCCCCATAATTGGTTCCCCCACCCCCCTCCCCCCACCCTTTTTTTTTTTTTTTTTTTTTTTTTTTTTAAAATAAACGCACAGGTAAGCCACCAAGCTATCCATCGAACCGCACACGTCCGAGCCGCAAACCGCCGAGCCGTATACTCCGAGCAGCCAACTCCGGCCGTAAACCCTTCAATAGATCGCGAGAAAAACTACGCTTTTCACAATTTTTGCTCTAAAACTCGATCAAAAACTCGTTTTTATTAAAAACACGAAGAACAAACCCCCCTTATTTTGCCAAGATCTATCCAAAAATGCAGAAATCCTTCAAAAATAAGATCAAATAAGCTCTAGATATGAAAAAATTGATTGATACAATCCAAACTCTAATACCACTTGTAAGTCCCCAATCTGTTTGTGTATCAATCAGATCCGTTTGATGGTGCGGAATCACAATCAAACGGATGATGTCAGATCAAAAGAAGAGGAAGAAGAATAAGTTGAATCTAATGTATCGATGATACGAATGAAGATCCTTACAAGAGATTCACACACACACACACACTCTTCTTCCCTCTAGTTTCTCTCTCTAGAACACCTTAGAATACACACACTTAAGCTCCTCTTCAATAATACACTTATTAACCACTCCACACCCCTAACACCTATATATATACACACACTTAGGGAACATGGGTCGTGAACAGGTTTACGGCCGTAAACATTCACCTAGCCGTGAACACAGCCGCAAATGTATATTACATTACAGAAAAACCAATTGTCTAGAAAAACAAAGTATAAACCATATTTTTGACCTAACAAATACAATTAAAAGACTCCGCCTAGGCGCTGATTAAACATTGCTTAAAAGGATTAGTTGTTTAACCCCTGTCGACAACTTTATTACCATCTAACGATTTTTACAACTTTGGACTAAATATGTACGAACTGAAAATTATATTACCCTTTTAACTTTTTTTGTTTTTCGGTTTAACCTGAAGTAGCTGGCTATAAAGATTGATTGTGTATAAAAAAAAAACAAGTTAATTGATTAAATGTAGAAAAAAAATCAATGATTAAAAATAGAAAGTATATTAACTATTAAATCATTTTTTAAATAAAAGAATATTTAAAAAATGTTTATATCTTCGTAAAACCAAAATCAATGTTACTACCAGTTTTGGCAAAAAAAGCCCCTCCATATCAGCTAACAAACAAGACATATCACTTTTTATTAATAACAACCCAACAAACAAGATCATCATAAATACTTGAAAACTAAAATAAATGTTATATTAATTATAAAGCTCATTTTGATATTTTCAAGATTTACATTATTAATTTGTACAAAATATGCGTTAGTATTTTTATTTAATAAAAAAAACGACGTAACAAAGGGGTTGTCATTTTATTTTTGTTATCATTTTTGTAAAATCTAATGGGTATTTTTAAAAAGAAAGAAGTAGGTAGCCACGAAAAATAGACGTCTATAAAGAGTACCAAAACCCGAAGAATCAATAACACCAAAAACACACCATGGAGATTGAAAGAGTTCAAGAAATAGCCTCACTCTCAAACCTCAATGGCACGATCCCAATTGAGTTCATAAGATCAGAAAACGAACAACCAGCAACTACCACCATCCATGGGGTGACGCTGGAGGTTCCGGTGATCGATCTTAGCGACCTTGATGACCAAAAGTTGGTGGCTTCAATCTTTGAAGCCAGTAAAGATTGGGGGATCTTTCAGGTCGTGAACCATGACATAACAAGTGAAGTCATAAGCAAGTTACAAAAAGTTGGTAAAGAGTTCTTCGAGTTGCCACAAGAAGAGAAAGAAGCCATTGCTAAACCAGTTGGGTATAAAGGTGTTGAAGGATATGGCACAAAGCTTCAAAAGGAAGTGGAAGGGAAGAAAGGCTGGGTGGATCATTTGTTTCATAGGGTTTGGCCACCTTCTGCTATCAACTATCAGTTTTGGCCCAAAAACCCTCCATCTTACAGGTTTCATTCACTTTCTTCTTTTTTTTCTTTTAAGTTTTCTTTTTTTATATATTCTTGAAAGGAAATTAAATAAACAGTTGTATGTGTATGGTTTGGTTTAGTTGTTTTAGTCTACAATTAAACTAAATATTAAGTTTAAATAGTTACAAATCAACAGTCAATTATAGAGCTTCGAAAGTCGACAAATTGTTTTTATTTAATTGGTTTACTCCTCATTTCCTCCAAAGTATAGATACTTCAATTTTACAAAAAGAAAATAAAAAATAAAATAACTACATATTTGAACAAAAAAAAAATTATAAATTAAACATTTGTGCTTTCGCAATCATGTCCACTTTGGCTCATTTCTTATAATTTTTCTTAGAGTATCTACTGTTATGGCAATAAAGAATGAGGTCGAGGAAATAAATAAATGAACAGGTCCAAACTCTAAACGTGATGGCATTGAATTATGGAAAGTCACATGGGTCGTGGGCTTCCCACAATTTTAGAGATATTTTAGGAACAGCAAAAATATCTGAACATCAAACATTAAATGGAACTCTAAATTTTTGGAAATTTATGTTTTTGTGGGGTTTTAGGCCAGATACATACATGGATATATAAGATTTGTTATAAAAAAGTCCGTAGGTTTTGGTTGATTATGCCATTCCATTTAAACCATCCGAATCATTTATATATTTATAATATTTTGTATATTATTATCTATGATTTTAGAAATATAAAGTTTTTTTTGTTTTTTATTGATGGTACTGGCTTTGGCTTTATTATTGATGGTACTGGCTTATAATAGAGATTAAATGATTAATGGTACTGGCTTTGGCTTTGTTATTGATGTTACTATTTAGATTGATTTATCATAAAATTTTGATATAATAAATTTTATATGTTGATGATTATATTTTTATAATTTTTTTAGATAATAACTTGTTGATGTTGTTCGGAATTTGAAGTATTAAAAAAACTAAGTTAGATTTTTGGATGACATTGTGATCATGTTTTTTTTAACACGAAAAATTTTAGGAGTGATTTTTAACATATTATGAAATAAATAAGAAGTCCAATGCCCGAGGTAAACCTGGTGGTTATTTAGTAAACAAGTGTCCGATAGGACGAGGCCGAGTGTGGGACAAAGTTTTGTAATTAGGTATGTGAATATACCTGTTGAAAATAACTGATACGCGATTAAACCGATCAATCTAAATTCATATAAATCAGGTTGGGTAAATCGGGTAATAGGTTTAAAATTTCATTTAAACAATCAACCTAATATTTAATCGGTTCGGATATAAAATACAAATAAAGAATTAGATATATCCAAATACGTGATTTTAGAAAAAAAAAACATTTAGCTTTCTGATCCCATGGATCCACATGACCCAGGTAGGATCCCCATGCTTTTGAAGGGGTGTTATTAATAAGATACCTTTTAGACACCCTATTAACAACCAATAATTAACTGTTTATAATCAGTTTTTTTGGAAAAACAATGCAATTTCAGCAAATACAAATATTTAAAAAAATATTAACTAGGGTGTTCATATTGTAATGTGGGGTATTTTTTTAGCCAACCCCTTTTGAAATGGAGAGACGCTGCTCAAGATTTGGATTTACAGATGTACAAGAGCTAATATAACAACTTTATACAATAATTATGAAATACGTTATAGTTAAACATTAATTTTGTTTTGGTAGGGCAAGCAATATATATTCAAAAAACAAACAACAAACTCAAATGAGAAGCTCAAGCAATTAGAAAAAAACAGTTTAGGAGGAGAGCAGTTTTAAGCATGTCAAATAGAATTACATTTAGATCTATATTTAATCCAATTGAATTTAGATCTATATTTAATCCAAATGAATGTATATTCATGCTAAAATCATCTACAATCAAGCACCACCCAAAGCAATTTAATTTTACAGGAATCCATTTGAACGATAGAGAGTTCCTCATGTTGGACCGTTTTAAAAACAAACCCCGCAAAGCTTTCATTGAAAATTCATTATTACCATCTCATTGCCACTTCCATTTGTCACACCCAACAACAAAAGTATAGGCTTGATCAACTATAGCAGCAAACTTATCTGATTCACGACCCCTTGTAAGTTGTCTCACCCAATCCCATTAGTAGTGCATAACATGCTCGTTTTCGATAGATACCCTCTTTTAATTAATTCAAAATAATCAATCAGAAACAAGCTTACAATAATACTTTAAAATTCCATTCGTCAGCTTTTACAACTTACAATAATTAGTGGACACACGTCGTTGGCTGCAATGATGATATTTTTGTTACATTTAAGCTAATGATATGATTTATAGTTTACTTGAACCAATGTTATGGTACAAGTGACTAGTGCATCAAGGTACGTAAATATTAACAACAAAACCAATGTTATAGTTTTCAGCATTTATTCGGACAATATATGCAATTTCCGAACCCGAACTAATAGGTGAGTTATCCATATCTGAATATCCGAATTTTAATACAGTTTGGTTATTGATTATTTTTTTATTAGAAACTATCTGACTTATTCAACCTGAAATACCTGAAACATGAAAATTATACAGAGAATAATATCACTAATACCTATCTAAAACCCGTGCCATTACCATCCTTGTAGCACAATTTCAATACATTTTTTTTTGTAAAATCCAATATGCATACTTTCTTTCTATCAATTTTTATTTTATACATTAATCATTTTAATCTACTAAACTTAATTTATCAAAAATAAATACCAAAATATAAAATAAATCACACAATTAAAAAGATATTCAACCCATATATATATATATATATATATATATATATATATATATATATATATATATATATATATATATATATATATATATATATATATATTCATCAATATTAAATACAAAATAAGTTAATTTATATTAAATTCATAAAAAATCATTTAAATTTCAAAACTACAAATTATTTGTTTGTTTTATGATTATATTTGTAAAAATATATTAAAAATCTCATCGATACACAAATTTGATACGAGGACGTAACTGAATTATTAGGTTTCTATAAAATTTTGAATTCTAAATTTAACATTACCATATAGAAATCATGTCTCTACCAAAGATGTGTCGTCTTATGATGGATGGAATCGACCGTCAAAGACGTGGACTAAACACGGTGTCGTCGGTTCTACCATCCGGAGGCCGGGCTGTTGCACCAAAAGTGTGGTTGAATCGGTTCGGTAAACCATCAACTCACTTTAATTCCATTCCAACAATTTCCAATTCTATTCCAGCATTTTCAATGATTGGGAGATGATGTTAAGGTCATTGTTTAAACCGACTATATCATAAAATGCAAATAATACGAACATGGCTACTATTTCGCGATTCGGATATAACAAACATGAGATACTTTTGTGAATCACTTCTACATCCACGAACTGCTAAAATTGATTCAAGGCAGCACAAGAAGCGGCAAGAATGAACGTTGAACAAGCTTTTGGCGTCCTAAAATTTGATTGGAGTATAATACAACATCTAACACGGTCAATGTCATCGACTAGAACAAGAGATATAATGTACAATTGCATTCTACTACACAATATGATACTACAATATAAGTGTGCTACTATATTTCCGTTTCATCATAATGATGCCCTTTTGTGAAAGAAATGAATACATATATGAACCATGAATATCACGATGTAGGATCCCACCACTAACTTCACTCACATCTCTACGTGATTACATTAAACATGTCTATATATCAACTATGGATAACTAGTTTCTTTAATTATCATTTTATCGTTAAAATTATCGTTTTTGAATTTAAATTTAAATTTTCTCTTTTTCATATAATATGTTATTTAGTGAAATTTTATGTTTAATTTTATTTTTTATATTTTAATTTCGAATGAGTAAATGTTTAATTTAAAAATAGTAAATAAATAAATTGAATGGAGTATGAGAGATAAAAGGGATAAATTTTCATATGTTATGATGTAAGTGAGAAAGAAAGAAGAGAGATAAAAAATTAATGTGGTGGAAGGTATGGGCTTTTATCACTCCCAACTTAATTGCTACCTAATTTTTGCTACCAAACTTCCATACAATTTTTTTTTTCTCTCTCTCATCCTTCTCATATACTATAGGATATGAAAATCCACCTCCCATTCCTCAAAATCTCTCGTATCTTTTAAATGACAAAACTGCAAATTTAGTCATTGTGATTTGTAAAAACCTTTGGATAGGATTCAAAAAGTTTTCGACTTGCATGCAAGGTCAAAAATTAAGGTTTTTCCCTGTTTTTGGTCCATAAAAACTTGAAAAGATGGTTATGCCCTTGTACTTTCGTTTTTGTATTTTTTATAAATTTTCAAACACTAATTTAATTTAAAAATAAAAGGAAACGAAAATAATTGTCCCCCAACCCCCCTCTCTCTCGTTTAATTCCCTCCCCCTCTCTCTCTCTCTCTCTCTCTCTCTCTCTCTCTCTCTCTCTCTCGTTTAATTCCCAGGACACAATCCATCACCATCATCTTCTTCAAAACCCAGCTCCACCCTTCTTCCTTTCTCACGTATCGGTCCTCTCTCCCCATCTAGTCGAGCACCATGTTCACATAATAAATAGAAGAAAAGCTGAAAAGGAATCCCATCAAGCAACACAACAACCATCATTGTCAAAAAAAATCAACCCAAACATCTTTGTCGAGCTCCACTATCCACGAGAACAGAGCGCCAAAAAAAAAAAAAGCAGATCGGTGGTCTAACTGCCACCAAGATCTTCGTCCTTAGGTACACCGAAAAATCCAAGTTTCAAGCCCCGTTTTTTGTGTTGTGGTTTTTATCTTAAGCATATTAACATTCATTGGTGGTTTTTATTTTGGGGGTTAGCCAAATCGACGTCGCTGCCATCTAATTCCCATACTCCTCCATTACAACCACCATCGATCACCATCGCTGCAACTAACAGCGACCACTATCGCTGCAATCTCATATGAGTTTTCTAACCTGCAAAACAACCCATATATGATGGGTAGAAATCAAAAGTCTAGAATCAATCCTCACTGGTGAGTTACCTAATAAAATTTGGGGGTTAAAGAGTCTTGAAATGATCTACATTAAAGGGAATTTGGTTACTCAAGGCTTATCCATGATCGATTTCTCCAATTTAAAGAAGTTGCAGGTTCTTTGACCGAAACCCTAAGATTCTTTTGACAATCAGTTTTTGAATTTTGACATGGGTAAGATAATAGAGTAGTGTGTTGTTGAAGGGGAAAAGGGGTTTCATTGTATGCTTATGGGACCGGTGGTCGAGTTCGATCAACAGGAGGCTGATCAAAGTAAGGAGTATGCCGATGGAGTTGTGTAAGATTATTAAAGATAAATAGGAATGAATTTGGGTTAAGTTAGGAGGGAGAGAGAGAGTGAGGGAATGAATTTGGGTTAAGTTAGGAGGGAGGGGGGGGAGAGAGAGAGAGAGAGAGAGAGAGAGAGAGAGAGAGAGGTTGGGGGATAATTATTTTTAAATTAAATTAGTATTTGAAAATTTAAAAAAAAATACAAAAAGAAAGTAAAATGGAATAATCGTCTTTTCAAGTTTTTTTGGACCAAAAACACGGAAAAACCTTAATTTTGGACCTCTTGTGCAAGTCGAAAACCTTTTGGATCCTATCCAAAGGTTTTTACAAACCACGATGACTAAATTTGCAGTTTTGTCCTTTTAAATTAAAAAAATACCAATTTAAAAGTAAAAAAATAAACAAAATATAAAATAAAGTACTACAAATGGTGAATAAAAAGGTAAAACGATAATCAAAATTCAAAGACAATAATTAAAATCCTAAAATGATAACTAAAAATTCTAAAACAATTAAAAAACCTAAAATGAATTCTAAAATTCTCAACTATCTTACTTTGTAATTTTTGTTTCTTCATAAGCACCATGCTTAGCAAACCTCCAATCAAATGTTCACACAAATTAAGAAAGTACTAAATATTTTGAGCCTCTTTACAAGCTCCTCTTATTTTTCAATCCATTTCATTGATTTTTCCAGTTTGGTATAATCTCGTTCAGTCTCGATGATGGTTTCAAGTTCTTCGCTTGATACCTCATTTTGGTTTGATGGATAGTAGTGGGTTTGTCGCTAGACTCTTTGAATTCGGTTTTGAGCTTCACAAAATTGTGATACTTTGGGAGGAGAACCAAGAATTTTTTTTGGAGGAATATGAAACTGGTTGTAGGATTGTTGCATCGGAAGTGACTTATATTGTTATTGAGAATATTGGTATTGAGGGTAGTTTGTAATTTGAGTTTTCGGAACAAAAAATAATGGTTCTTGACAATTACTATCATTTTGTCGATTGCGTCTTAAGCTAGAACCGATTTTGTAGGATATTCCACAATAGTCCATTTAAATTGGAATTGGAATGCACTTGAATAAAATGATACTAGAATTGGAGAGAACATGAATGGAATGGAAGAAGGATGGAACAGAATTAGAAAGAATGTGTAGTTTTTTGAAGTGGTAAAAGATTGTATTTACCCATTAGGCGAGAGTATATAGAGAGAAAGAGATACCCAACGATGTAGTTAACACATGCATTCTCTCATTAGGCGGTATCGCCTTTGCTTGCGACTATCATGGTAGTGATACAACCCTTAAACCGTAGTTTAAACCGCTCGACTCTGATTATCCTTAGGATCCTCTAACAACGCATTAATGAAGGTTTAAGGTACACCAAAGATACAGGGGATTGTGTCTCTACTAGTGATAGAAATAAAATTTAATAAATGTTATTGACATTAAATAATCGGGTATTTTTTTTACATATTAGGGTAGGGGAGTGGTTCAAACATGTCATACCACTTAAATTTATTGTTGTTTAAGATGGGGGTAGGGGGGGGGGGTTATGCGATTGTTCTTTTTTTCCTTTTTAATTTGGCTATTGTCTAAAACAAGGTAATTTATATAAAATGAAAATTTTCATTAAATCAAAAGGGAAATTACATGATAACAAAAAACAAGACATTTGAAATTAAAACATTGGAAACATGAAACATAAAAATGACATCACTTAAGTCTCCATACCGGAGCATTGTTGAACACCCCTGACAACTTTCCAAAAGTCTACACAACGGTGATGTTTGTTCCTTTCTTAGTGGAAAAATGAAAGTGTAGTATTTAACACCATTCTATCATTTTCACCACTTGGGCAAGCACGCCTAACTTTATTAAAGACAACGTAGAACTCTATTACCACCTTGTTTGTATGCTTCTCTTCGGCATAAATTTGATATTTGCTTGGGTAGCGACATTCATTTCCTTGAGCAAACGTTGTGTGACTTTGTCATAAAATGATGAACAATTTCCATTGATGCCAGCCCTCGGGTCTTGCATGGGTCAATGACCCATGCACGAGCCAAAATGACATCCTCAATCGTGGTCCAAGGTACAATTAGGGAACGAGTTAAGTGTTTGAGGAATATATTTTGAGAGAGGCAAAATAAATAGAGGGATGAATATTAAATGTTTAAAAGTGATGAGAAATGAAGATGATTGTTGGTATTTATTTTGGTAGAAAATTGAAATTGATAATAATTACCTCTCTCGTTTACAAGTTGTTATTGAGTTGGTTGGCCGAACTCGACATGCCGAGATAAGGATGCGCCATTTGTCCGATCCTCTTCCCTTAGCCTTAGTCTAGCTTCAAGATACACTCCTACCTAGAATTTGACTATTTTTCATTGGGAGTCAACTTATCTTTTTATGTTTTTTAAATCTTTTATCATTTTTCAATAGCACCGCTAGATAATAATTAGGTTAGGATATACTAGACTAAGATGGTGTATAATAAAGGTTAAATGTTACTATACGTACCCCTCATTCATATATGTTAAATCATATGTGTCCACATACTATTTCACTCACAATGAAAGATATACAAAACAATTTGGGGATATGTATAGAATTTCCCTAAAATTTTCTTGGGAGAAGGAGTGGTGTCGGAGAAATCCGAGACTTGCTCCCGAAGGAAGAGCAATTAACCAATCACATTAAGTGTCATTATTATGGGAATACACATATTTTGTTTTATGTAAAGTGAAAAAGGTTATAATAATTATTAACTTTTCTTTTGAAAGAGTTAAAATGTTAACCATGTAATGATGCTTTAGTTATAATCATTTTTTTAGTTTTATAAATATACGTTTTAAGTTGAAGAATAAATTTAACAATGTCTATTTTAGAACCAAGCCGGTTTCATACATTTTCTGTAAAACGAAATACTATCACGGGTTTCAATGTCACATTATGATGTCTTATGACAATTGGAATACAAAAAGTGTGTAGGTTGGATTTTACATATAATGACAAACCTACATCATCATTCAAAACAAACAAAATTTAATTACCTAAGTAATCTTAAAAATATTGAATTGCATATAAGAATTGACAAGAAAACATCATATAACTTATCAATAATAGTTTGTTGGATATTTTAGATAATAGTAAGGTTTGTATGATTGTGTAAATTTGATTTTATTCAGGGAAACAAACGAGCAATACACAAGTATGTTGATAGGGGGTAGCAAACAAATTGCTTGGATTCCTATCAAAAGGACTTGGATTAGAAGAGGGTGAAATAAAACAAGGGTTGGGTGGTGAAGACTTGACCTACATGTTGAAAATAAACTACTACCCACCATGCCCATGTCCCGAGCTTGCTCTTGGGGTTGTACCCCATACAGATATGTCCTCCATCACCATACTTGTCCCAAATGAAGTTCAAGGTCTACAAGTATTTAAAGATGACCATTGGTATGATGTTGCATACATCCCTAATGCTCTCATTATTCACATTGGTGACCAAATGGAGGTAAATCAACTCAATTCATTCACTACATCTTTATTTGTATCCGTATCTATATCTCTATCCATATTAATTATGTGTAGGATGACCTTCACCCTTAAAGGTAAAAATGTTATTATAGGTTTTTGTGTATTTGTTATTATAGGTTCAGGTTCATTTGAGACCATTCTAATTTTGTGAGACCGTGAGACCAAATCTAAAAATAATTTTAAAATGCAAAATAAATGGAAAAATCCAAAAATTCTTTTTTTTTAATATTATTTTCGGAACTTGAATTAACTAAAAAAAAATAAAAATAAAATAAAATAAAAATAAAAATAAATAAAAAAATCCCGTTTTTGTTTTTTAAAATACGTGAAATATTCTAAATAGAATATTACACTGACATATTCTAAAAAATAATTTTAAAATGAAAAATAAATGGAAAAATATAAAAAAAAAATTTTAAATATTATTTTCGGAACTTGAATTAACTAAAAATAAAAAAAAAATCTTTTTTTAAAAATACATGAAATATTCTAAATAGAATATTACACTGCACATATTCTAAAAATAATTTTAAAATGCAAAATAAATGGAAAAATCAAAAAATTCTTTTTTTAAATATTATTTTCGGAACTTGAATTAACTAAAATAAAAAAAATAATAAAAAAATTAAAAAAATAAATAAAAAAATGCGTCTCACGATCTCACAAAATTAAGCCGTCTCACATGAACCTAACGCTATATATATATATATATATGTGTGTGTGTGTGTGTGTGTGTGTGTATGTATTTGTTTATATGTGTGTGTGTATTTGTTTTAGTGTTAAGAGGGCTAGGATGGTATTCATCCTTAAAGATTGAAAAATTTTCAAATGTTTGGACAACACAGAAGAAAGTTTTTAGTTTATGTCGCTACAACTGAGATTATTAAGATTTTATGGCTATTTGATATTTATATGACTAACTAATGAAACAATACTAACAAACGGTAAGAATGAGTCTGTATGTGTATTGTCATTGTAAGAAAGATATAATGATTTTTAAATCATTCATAGAAATTTTTTATAAAAGCTAAAAGCCAATACAAATAAAAAAATATTTTTTGTGTTTGGCAGATACTGAGCAATGGAATATATAAGAGTGTGTATCACAGAACAACAGTTAACAAAGAGAAGACAAGAATGTCTTGGCCAATGTTCTTAGAGCCACCATCAGAGTTTGAGGTTGGACCAATTCCAAAGCTTATTAATCAAGACAATCCACCAAAATACAAGACTAAGAAATACAAAGATTATGTCTATTGCAAGCTAAACAAGCTTCCACAATAATATATTCGTGTGTGTTTGTGTGTTTGTGTTTTTTATTTTCTTGAATATGGGATTGTACTTTGTAATACTAGACTATTGGATTTTGGTTTAATGTTGTTTAAGCATAAAATTAGTAGACAGTATATAACCATAATATAAAATATACAAAAATTAATTATATATTATAAAAACTTAAAAGGAATGAATTTTTAATGGACTTACTCACATGTATAAAATGGTCGACCTAATAACCTAAAAATTCTCTTATATTTCTTGTGTAAGAGGAAACATTTCTAAATGGATACCACCAATTTTAATTATCACTTTTGTTTGTATAAATATATATATATATATATATATATATATATATATATATATATATATATATATATATATACACCATCTTATAATGCATTTATCTTTATGGGCCCTAAGCATTTTAAGACTATTGTCTTAAAAAACAAGGAGAAGGGATCTTGACCCTTTATTATCATTCTAACGGTCCAAATGATCTCACAGGACATTCACACGGATCAACCATCTCCTGATACCTTCTTCTCCCGCTCTTCCATGTTCATTTCAAAATTTGAATACGCTATCCTTTTCTCTCTAGAAACCCTAGCTATAATCGCCATCACTACAACCACTTTTCTCATTCTCTATTTCTTAACCGGCGACCCATCACCATAACCACCAGAAGCACCTCCTTCAACACGAAGACCAGAAAGAGAGACGAAGTTTAACCCTACACATGCCGCTGATTTGCTCTTTAAAAACTAAAACCTAGATATCGTGTGACCATATGCCGCCGCACCATCGCTTGCCGCCTTCCCACCATTATCAATTTACTGGCCTGTGGACAGCTTAACCATCTTCTTTACCTGACACTACCCTCGAAAATTGATTTAACACTTGAACTGGTAAGTATTTTCCTTTCAATTTTTGTTTGCTTATGGTTTATTTTATTGCTTTATATCTATTTAAACCACCGAAACATTTTGAAGTTTTAAACTCTTCTCGTTTGATTCTAATAGCTCGAGTTTGTATTTTAGTCATAATGCTCCCAAGCCCCAATAATTTTACAGGTATGTATTCATAGAATCGATTTTCTGATTTTTTTATCTCGGATTTTCTCAAAACATATTTTCTTTTATGTATTTTGTTTCTTCCCAATTTGCTCAAGAACTCTAATTATTTGACATTTATTGTATTGATTTTCAGATCTATGTGTGTATAATCATGGTTTTGGCAACTTAGAGATGGATTTCAAGTTTTTTGTTTCTTCATAATTAGTTTCCTATACGCAGACAAATGTTTTTTTTTTTTTTTTTTTGTAAATTCATTGTTTTTATTGTTGAAATGAAGCTGCAGAAAATGCTTGGATATAGTTCTATACTGATGTTATATTGTTTGCAGGAGTGGATTGGAATTTGGGTTCATCAAGGGCTTTTTGTACACTTAATATTTTCACATTTCTCATAAATGAGTTGTAAATGGTATCCATTGTGCAGGAGCATATCTGGGATTTGTGTCCCGCTCTCTAGCATTGAGCCCTAAACTACAATTTAAAGAAGTATAATAGGTATCTGTTTATTTTTTCTTTTCACTCATCTTCATCTACTGATCTAAACCCCTTCTTTAATGGCATATGTGTTATTTAACTTTATGTATGATAAAATTTCTAATTATGTGTTTCTTATCTCTAATGGCTCAAAACACTTTAAAAATCACTAATGATTTTGTATCTTTGTTCATATAGTATATTTTATGGTATTAATACATAAATCCTAATGTTCGTGTCTAATGTTTACAAATATTGATTAGGCCAAGTGATTTTGGGTTTTATTTTAACCTAACATAGCATCTCCACCATCCAGTGAGTAGACTCTTGCTATCACGATTTTTAATGCAAATATTTGTAAATTCTGCTAGCTTTGTGCTGATTACAGTTAGAAAGTATTTTCTTTATTTTAATAATTCTTTTATTTATATTGAAATTTGATGCAGAAAAGTTATTGAAGAAAATGAAAAGGTTTTGTTTGAAACCTGATGATTCAACAAGTTTGGGTGTTTAGTAACACATTTGGCAACAAGGTAAGAAAATTTATACTTCTCTTGCTTGTATATGTCATCTTCTCAGAAACCACAAAATTCTCATGTTTTTGAGATGTTTGTATTCTTGACAGTTTTGGTTTATAACTGTATGATGTTTGTGTAATTGTGTATGTGTGTATGCATGTCTGTTTTTTTTATGTGTTGCTCTCTCTCTCTCTCTCTCTCTCTCTCTCTCTTTCTCTCTCTCTCTCTCTCTCTCTCTCTCTCTCTCCTATTTGTGTGTGTTGTAAACACATAGTAGGATGTTGTATTAACTGCATGTAGTAAGTACACGTGGTAATGAATAAAATTAGGATGTTATAATACACAAATAAATAAAATTAGGTTGCTATTTTTTAGCAGTTACGCTTAACTTTTTTGCTTTCCATATCTCTAATTCCCCGATAATGGTGTTGGTGGATGCATATGAACATTTATTTCGTATTTATTGGATTTTTAATATACCCGATTAATTGAAATCTCATTTTTTACAATCTTCATGCTTACAAGTTGAGATCGTTGACTAAGGAAACAGAGGGTGCTTACAATCTTTCTTGCTTCTGCCTGTTTTCTTCTTGGTTATGACTAATGTCAGATCTATGTTTTCTTGGAATCGATATGTGTTAGAACCAATATACGAATACATAGTGCATCTTTCATGGTTTTTACAGATCTTCAAATTTGGGACAATAAAATACTTTATTTCCGATTTTTGGTTTTGTTTTTTCGTCTTTATCTTAGTATATCAGATCAAGGAATGAAGTTCTTATTTTTTTATTTTCATATTATATATATGAAAATATAAGTTCCTTTACTTTTTTTCGTATTTAGATATTGAAAATCTTTTCGTTTTTGATTTTTGCTTTTCAGATCTGTTAATGTAAGATATTTTAATTTCTACACTGTTTGCTTTGCTTTAGGTTTGTAGGTCTGAAATACAGAACTTGCCAAGGCAGAAATCTCACCATTTTGGAAGATTTGTTATGTGTTTATTAGATGTTAGAAGGAGTAACTGGTTATTGGTTTTGTTATAGTGAATAATCACTGTTTCATTTTGAGAGATACATGCAAGTGTTTCATTTTGAGAGATACATGCAAGTAAGTTTTGATATATATGGAAAAGTTGTTGATTGCCGGATGATGAAGGGTTAAAAATAATTGTTTATTTTTAAATTGCTTGTGATATTTACAAATAAAAGATTAAAAAGAATTAGAATTTAAAGAAAGATCAAATTTGTTGCTTTTATTTAAAATTGTTGTAATGATTTAATTTGATGGATTGATGAAGTACACGATAAAAAGTTAAAATTTTGTTTGATTATTAGTTGTTATTAAAAAAATTGAAATGAAATAACCCTATTAAAAGTAAACTTTCAAATTACGATATTTTAGTTGGAAAGATTGAACTTGTTTAAATTTCAATTTTATTATATAGGTATATTTTTTTAAAAAATAATTGTGTCTTAAATATATAATACAAAGAGAAAGAGAAGCTAATACGATAATTGTAAATAAAATATAGAAGACTTTGTTTTAAAAGTTTTAAAATCAGTGATTTTAAAAGTTAAGCACAAAAATATCGTTTGGTACTTCTAAATCACTTACATTGCTTTTTTCATTTCCGACTGTCTAATCTATTTCTTATACATTGCCAACTCAATAAAACCATTTTATTACAATTTAAACTTTTAACAATTATATATTTTTCGGCAATATCTATCTTCATGCTAGATATTTGATGTAAAAATAATACTAAAATCAGCATCTAATAAAAACATTATAATCTTATATTCATATAAATGATTTTTTCTAATCAAAGTTTACTTATGATTTATAAGGATTTATAATAAAGTCAACATATAATAAAAACATTATAATCTTATATTCATATAAATGATTTTTTATAATCGAAGTAGAAAGTAGTTTACTTATAATTTAGAATACCAAAGCTTAAAATGATACCCGTTAATATAGATAAAAATTAGTAACTACCATTTTTGATAATCCAACACTTTTGATATCTAAATGTTTGAATCTACAGTTATAGTATGATTTCTTATGATACAATTTATTATTTAATATTAATAACCCTTATTATTACAAATATAAAATAACTGAATTTTAATACACCGGAAACAAAGCACAAAAGAACAAAAAAAAAACGATATATAATTTAATATTTAACTTTTTACATGTTGATGTCATGTATAGTCTTGCTTAAAATGTAACATCTTATCCATTTAATATATCGTATTTTAGCTTTTAATTTCGAAATGAAACAAATAAAATGTAAATTTATTATCATCTTAACATTATTCGTTAAATGAAATTAATCGTCGTCCGCCGCCGATTAAAGAGTAATAGACGAAAATTAATATTTGTTGTCCGTCTAGAGACAGCTGATCATCGAAAGAAATAAATCGTCAGAAAGAAATAAATTGAAAAGAAACAATTTGATGATCGTCGAAATGACATTAACTTTTGATCAGAAACTAATTGTCGGAATGAAACAAATACCCACCGCCGCATCGCGCGGGTACACTACTAGTGTATATATATATATATATATATATATATATATATATATATATATATATATATATATATTTAGAATTAAGATTAATATATATACATATCAAACTATACGAAGAAATATCCATTCTATTCTTTTCTAAATTTAATTGTGATAAAATTCCTAACTTTTTTTTATTGTATTTATAAATTTACAAAAAAAGAAATTATATATTAATTGTCTAGAAATCTATAAATTATAAGTTTTATATATATTTTATAAAAATAATAACATATATAAATACCTCAAAAGCGAGTGGTCCTCTAAGATATATGTAAGATGTAAATAAAATATGCAACAAAGAGTATGTAAATAAAATATGCAACAAAGAGTATGTGGTTAGCACATGAATCTAATAAACCCAATTTATATTGGAATTGAATCTTTTACACTAAACAATTTTTTAGATTTTTATCTGTTCACACATAAAAAATTACTTACTTATAACAAAAGCATAACAAATGTATAACCAATTTCCATATATATATATATATATATCTATACTACCTTATAATAGAAATCTAATTATTTCCATAAATAGATTCAATATAATAATAATATTTTTTTAAGACGTTCAAGTCTCTAAACCTAAAGTACAACTAATTGTGAATAAAATAATACTAAAATTTTAAACAAGTCTCTTATCTAGGTTTGACCCAACTTCTTTGTTATTTATTTGATCGAGTCATTTTGATTCCGAGATATCAGCAAATATTTGTGGATTACAACCCGTCTTCCTCTCATATCTCGACTCGTCTACTGATTCGTTGCAGAAATTAGATTTAATCATTTGTTTGCTTCCGGTCACACCCTATCTGTCGTCACCAGTAGCACCATCTCCTCCTTCTCTCCACCCATCGACGACATTCACTATTGCTCGATATTGGCTCTGGTTTTGTGAAAGCACTATTGTCTCCACTTCTGCATAGTCACACCATCAACCAGCGCCCTTCTAGGGTTTGCTATCCCCTCTCTCTATTTCTCTGTGATAGAAGATGAAGAGGATGGGCACCATGCTACTCCATTCCTGATGCGACTATGTGAAAGTTTAGAACAAGTTAACAGAAAATTGTTCACCATGTGAGCTTTAGGTGTATTGCTATTGATTTTGGATAAATCAAAGGCTAACTACTTTAGTAAGTGCACGCAAGTTGGAAATGCTTAAATGACTATGTGTTACATGTTTGAGTTGACCATTTCATCTATGGATTTGAGTCACTTGACAGAATCTGCGTAAACAAACATTTCTGGAAAGCTTAGATGACATCGTGGATGTAATTTTAGTTTCATTTCCCCCTTCAGTCTAAATTAATTCTGCAATATAGTTGAATTCAGGTTCTGTTGACTGTTGAGTGAATGCATTTGTTATCTCCTTGTGTCCTCTTATACTTGTGCATCTGTTTGAACTTATTTATTATATCATCCATGTATCTTTCTGTTTTGATTTGGAATTTTCTCATTGACATTTGTTCAATTATATGTGTTCTATTTCCTCTTTCAGATGCAATCAGGGTATGGTCGTTCTCTATTTGAGTCCCTCCTTCCGCTGATTTTGGGGCATGATATTAGTGGTGAAATTGCAGCAATTGGGCAAGAATTTTTTAGGGCACTTCATCCAACATCTATGAGAGGCACTTACACCGATTATGCCATTCTTGCAGAAGATCAACTTACCCCAAAACCATCAACAATCTCACACGTGACACGTGGTATGTATTATGTTTTCTTTAACATCATTAACCTCTCTTTTCTTGTTCATTTTCTTCATATCTATCCTAACTACATCAAATCTATATGTTGCATTCATGATCCTCCAGGATGCAAGTGCAATTCCTTTTGCTGCCCTAACAGCATGATGTGCTCTTAAATCTACTGCCAGGATAAGTAAAGGGTATGTTTGTAATTTGTTGCACTTTGGCTATAAAGTTTTATATATAAAAAAAGAAACTCATATTTTTTCACTTAATGTCTACAGATAGAGGGTATTAGTGGTGGGTGGAGGAGGAGCTGTAGGTTACTCTGCAGTTCAACTAGCTGTTGTAGCAGGCTGTGCGATTTTAGCTACATGTGAAAGTGAAAGCATAGATCGCCTCTTGGCAGCTGGTGCTGAACATGCACTCGACTATACCTTTGAGGTGATGTAATTTTGAATGTTTGTCAGGGGTAAGGGCGTCTTTTACTTTTAAGTTGTGTTCTCAATGTTTGAATATTTATGATGTACAGGATCTGGAAGTAAGATTGAAAGGAAAGTACAATGTTGTTTTAGACCCGATTGGTATACAACAAACGGAACAATTATGAATCAATCTTTTAAAACGAGGCGGACATTACATGACATTGCAGGTGATAAAACAAAACCATGTTGTGATTAATGGATTTTTAAAGTTAATTTTTATGTTGATATGTGTTGATTTTTGGTTTAGGGGGAGTCTGCATCATTGAGTGATAGATATGGTCTGGTTATTGGCCTTCCTACTGCTACTTCCATTTTGATGAAGAAACAGATTCAATATCGGTTATCTCATGGAATAGGTAAAACTCATTCAAACAAGTATGACTGAGATTACTTTTCTAAAATCAATCTGATAAACTACAAGCATAGACATGCTGCTGTGAATGATTGTACATTGCTATTAAATGGTTGTACGTATATGAACTTGGAATGGAACTGAAAGATTAAAAATAAACCCTAGCTTTCGAACGGATAGAACACTCCAGAGATCATTTATCACTGAATACGCTCCAAGATACCCACTCTCTAACATCAATACGTAATTAGACTGAACTAACTAAGAGAATGACCAAAATACCCCTCAATCTCTCCTTTATTACAGATGCTTTACTTGTACTTATTTCCTACCTTTAAAAATACTATGAAGTGTAACATGTTTCTTTTTGAATTAATGCAAAAATATGATTTAAGAGATACAGACATGGAAATGAGGGCCTCCCTATCAGGTATATCTATAGCTTTTCATATATTTATATCAATATTTTGTAAATTGTAATAATTATCCTTGCATGGTCAGTGATATGTACATTATCACAGTGGTTTCCGAAACTTGAAGTAAGTTGTTTTTAACTTTTACATAAAATATTTGAGAATGTGTATCTTTATTTCTTATTTAAGCATTTCGTAAATTTATAAAATATCTAAGAATCTATATAATTATTATATTTGAAATTTATAATTTTTAATGAAACAAACAACTGTTCATTCAGCCCCAAAAGAAACTATATTTCATTTCTTTTAGAGTCAGTGAGGGTTTAGGGTTTAGGGCATTATTTATCCATTAGTCCGGGCAACAACATAACGAACAATAAAAGAAAAGAAAATGTTTTCATTTTGGCAATACAAGGGCAATTAAAGTCGTGAGTGTTTGAGTTAAGACGTTATCAATATGACTTATGGAGTAAGTGTTTTGCAGAATATTGGTGGACTTATATGAGGACAAATGCAAAAGGTCTGGTTGAGATTCGGAGGCTGACTGAGGCTGGGAGACTGAAAGTTTCTGTTCAGAAGACATTCCCAATTATGCAAGTGCAAGAGGCACATCAAGCTAAAGATACAAGGATAAATCCGGGTAAAGTAGTTCTTCAACTCACAGGCCTCGATAGTATTGATCATTCCTCAATAGTCTGATGATTTTAAAGATTTCTAAGGATCCTTTTCAACATTTAGGTGCTGGTCGATTAAAAATTGACTTTTGGGTAATTTTTGCTCTAGGTGCTCTAAAAGCACCTCTCCATTGAATGGAAGACCTGAGGTAATACGATAATGTATGGTACATGAAGCATATTTATTGTCTCCATAACAACCCCACAGATTGCAAAAGAGATCAGGAATGTCCATAATATTGTAGGGTTCAAGAACTTCTTCCCTTTACAGGTTTGAGCTCAAATTATTTGTGTTTTTAGGAATTTTTCATAAAAAATGTCATTGATGAATTTATCAGTTTGGTATAGATTGACTTATGTAAACCGATTAATCTTTTTCATTTCAGTCCATTATTGAGCTACGGTCGAAAGTTTTTTACAACCTTGATATTACCTTATTTGTTATTGTTGGTTTCCAATTTATTAGAAACAAACTTTTTAACACAACGAATCATTTACAAATCAATATTTTTGTATCAAACCTATAACCGAACGGCTTTAGTGTCAGTAGGTGCCTAAATGAAGTGATTAAGCGTCGGGGGCTTGTGTTTGTATATGTAGTACGTTGAAAATCTTATAAATGGGTGGGATACATTCCAATGGTTGTCATCACATCATAAAATTTTATGGAGAGTTAATAATAAAAAAATTGAAAATACATTATTAAAAGTAAAGAATTGAAAGTAAAATACTATAAAAAAAATAAATGTATAAACATTTGTTTTAAAATTATAAATAGGAAATTTTTCATTGTTTTTTCATAGACGATTTTTATTGTCTTGATAAACAATTGTATTTTAATTATAATTTGTATATGCTTTCAGAACCAAAAAAACAACTCAAGATAGACTGCAAATAAAAAACGGTTTGAATATTACAAACCCACAACACATTAAACCCATTAAACCGGTCAAAGTTCTGAAACAAGCTAAGATGTTACTATTGTTTGGAGTTAATATTTTGATTGATTAATTGCAATTTACAAAGAAGTGACACACAAATCGATTTATCAGTGTTTGAGGATTGTAAGGACTAAAGAACTATCAATATTTTGTTAGTTGGTTAATATTTAATGATTTTTTTGAACTGGCAAATACAAATATATAATCTACTCCTAAACTAACACCTAAATTCGTATATGTTCACAATGGCATTGAACCTTCGACCTCAAAGAGAGAGGGCACTACCTGATACCGTTGAACTAGAAACCCTTTTGATGCAATAGCCGCAAGTATACATCAAAACCGAAATAAGTTAATCACCGCTCATAAACTATTCGCTCCCGCCGCTTTGCGCGGGTAAACGACTAGTATATATATATATATATATATATATATATATATATATATATATATATATATATATATATATATATATATATATATATATATATATATATATATATCAACAATTTTGTCCAAAAATATTTGTTTTAGTATATGCTTTATTCCAAATTTTGTCTTCTACAAAAAAAAAAAAAAAATCTAAAAACAAGCAAAATGATGTATTCTCATTATTTTCAAACGGTTAGAACCAGTAACAAATTAATTTGGTCATTTATAAAATGATCCAAAATATTAAGACTTTACTACAAATAAAAAGTTGTTATTTTTGTTGTTGTTATTATTATTATTATTATTATTATTAAAAATGTATATAAAGATAGTATTTTTAAATTTATTAGTATTAATATTGTTAAATAAATACATGTATAAATATATTTTAAACATATTTATACGTATAACTAAATATATTTTTCGTATGTATTTATATATATTCTTGCCATAAAAAATGTATTAAGGTTTTCTTCTCTTTTAAAGGTATTTTTAAATATATGTAAAAAAATGTTTAAATAAAAATCACTATAAAAGTTATAAGGTATATATATATATATATATATATATATATATATATATATATATATATATATATATATATATATATATATATATATATATATATATATATATATATATATATATATATATATTATATATATATATATATAGCGGAGGGTTCAATTGACAAAAAAAAAAAGGTTGAGAATGGGGGAATCATTCTCAGCCAATCATTTATTTTTGCTGCAAAAGGCTCCAACGTACCGGCGGAAATGGGAAACAAATGCACATGTGTTTTCCAACATAACATATTTTCTTAAACTATGCTAATCATTACCTTAATATATGTAAAAACATAGTTTTTTTCGTTTTATTTTTTATTTTTATAAGCTATTTTTATCAAAAAATGATTTTAAATATACCAAAATTCATGATCTTTTATTCTCTACAAATAGACATCCATATTGATATAGTTTTAAGATAAAATAATTTTTTTTTTATATTTTCAGCTATCATTATTTATAAATGAATAACAATGCATCAGGTTTTATTACATTACATTCGTTATTCACTTATTAATAAAAAGTATGATTTTTTTTTTTTTTTTTACAATTTAAGTATTATTCATATATGAATATAGCATATAATAAACATAGTATATTCATATTTTAATATTGGACGATGAATTCACTTGTGAATATTAATATAGTATATTCACTTGTGAATATTAGATGATATATTCACTTATGAGTATTAAATGATATTTCATATGTGAATATTACATAGTATTACATGGTATATCACATGTGAATATTACAGAGTATATTCACTTGTGAATATTAGATGATATATTCACTTATGAATATTACACAGTATATTGACATATAAATATTACAAGGTATATTCAGTTATGAATATTACAAGGTATATTCAATTATGAATATTGAAGGTATTTTGACAAATATATATAATTTTTATATGTTATTCACATATGAATAACATACAGACTTGCATATTTGTTTTGTGTTTTTAATAATCATATACTGATTCAGTTGAGAAAACATATTCATATGTGAATATAACGTGGTAATTCAGTTTATGCATTTCATCAAACAGTTGTAGTGCAAACAAGTTAACTACTTTCAAAATGTTAAAAACATCAAGTTATCAATTCCAAATCATCATATACTTCCGATTTCGACTTCAGATGCAACATCCTATCTCTGATCGATTTCTCAATTCGATTTTGATTCCCGAAAATCCGATTGGGAACCTGTGAGTACCGAGTCGAAGTCCCTCAATGTCGACTGTGATTGTGAGTCCAGAACTCCGATTCCAATTTCATGAACATCGAAGAAATTCCGGTTTAGTTGAAGAAATATGGATGATTATTGAAGGTTGGAGGAAAATTTTTGATGATTAACAAACAGTTATCGAATTCTCTATAGTTACGTATTTGAGATTGAAGGTTATTACGATATTTACAAGTTTGCCACCGTGTCTTTTATACTTAGATTAAATGAGTGGCTGAGAATGATTCCCCCATTCTCAACCTTTTTTATTTTCTCAATTGAACCCACCTCTCTCTCTCTCTCAATATATATATATATATATATATATATATATATATATATATATATATATATATATATATATATATATATAATATATATATATATATATATATGAGTAAATTATAGAAATTGTCCCTATGGTTTGGTCGAATCTGTAATTTTGGTCCATAGATTTAAAATTTCATAGGTTACATCATCCCTGTGGTTTGTGAATATTATACTGCAGATCATTGTTTCATATAAAAAGACCAAAATTACCCTTCTTTTCTTTGTCTTTCTTTTAATTTATATATATATATATATATATATATATATATATATATATATATATATATATTATATATATATATATATATATATAGAAAAAACATCATAAATGGTCCCTGTGATCATCCAAAATCTGAAGTTTAGTCCCCGTGGTTTAAAAACCTCATAGATGGTCCCTGTGTTTTCAAAAATTTTGATGTTTGGTCCTTTTTGCTAACTCCGTTAAGTTCGTCCGTTAACTGAAGGGTATTTTCATCATTTCACCACCACAGGAACCATTTATGATGTTTTCTCGTATTTTTTGTAAAAAGAAAAAATGAAACATAATTAAATGTATAAAAGTTATCTCTCTCTCTCTCTCTCTCTCTCTCTCTCCACTCAGATTATCTTCTTTCTAACTCCTTTCAAAACACACACTTAACATTATCAAGAACACATACACACAACACAATCTCAAGAACATCTCCAGCTTGAAAAGACGATTCACCGCAACCACCATCCATCGCCAACCACCTCCATCTTCTCCACCCTAATCCTCCGTATCTCTTTACTTAATCTGATGCACAATCGATTTTCCGGATGTTCTCTTCAAGAACCATCGAATTTCTGGGTTTGTTTCTAGAATTGAAATCAATTTCTTAATCTAAAAAAGCTTATGGGTAATGGGTTTTCAAGAACAATTGATTTCTGAAAAATCGATTTCGCATGTGTATTTTCATATCATTTCTAGGTTTATGAATTGAGTTAGAAGAATGGTGGAGGAATAAATTGTTTTGGTTTATCGGAGGTACTAGCGCCCATTTAACTGCTGTTCTTCAAGGATTTTTGAAAGTGGTCATCGGAATCAAAATCTCATTCACATTGAAAGGGTATCAGGCACGATTCTCATTCAACATTTCAAAATTTTAATCGAGCCTAAAATATACACATGTTTCCTTCATCGTCTCCAGTCACTCTCTATCCCTCTCAGTCAAATACGAAGTTGTAGCCATACCTTCGATGTTGATCTCTTACAGTCTCATCTGTTTCCTCTCATCTGCTTCCAAGTCCTCTACCTATCCTCCCACGATCCTTCCAGAAAAGGTGATTTTACATTGTAAATCGATAAAAGACATTGCTAATTATAAGTGTATTCTAACTTCTCTTGATATTTCTATATCTACCATTGATTTTACACTTCAGATTTAGCTTCGTTCAGTAGATTCACAACACTTTCATTGAAGATTTTAATCAGAAACATTCCTCTCAAAGTATGATTAGGTGAATTATGTTTTCTTTGTAAAGCAGAATCAATTGACAGCGGATTTCTTGAGATCGAAAAGAAGGATGTATTGGTGATCCGAAGCATGAGGAACTTGCAATAACAAGAAGGAGGACACCGTCTCCATCTGAAATTCGAACAAGGAAACCAAAACCCATATATGTGAGGGAAGCCTAGATGAAGAAAAACATCGATATGGGTTTTCCATCGATCCATTGTGGTGCTTCCGGTGGTTGTTTATCCGGCGATAAAACAAAGATAAGGGTAGTGATTATCAAGCTTTGTTGATTGGAGCTTTGAAGTGAAATTTTTTGTAGTGGGTGTTCTTTAAGTGCAGAGAGAGAGAGAGATTTTATATATTAAATAATCATATTTAATTTTTCTTTAAAAAAAATAAGAAAAAGCATCATAAATGGTCCCTATGGTTGTGAAATGATAAAAATGCCCTTTAGTTAACGGAAAAAAGTTAACAGATTTTGGGACCATCTATGACGTTTTTAAACCACGGGAACTAAACTTCAGATTTTGGGAATCCACAGGGA